AACCATTATATATATATATAGAGAGAGAGAGAGAATTTAGTTGAAAAATTAAGACATACTAATACAATTTGTTTTTATTTATACCATCTCTATAGGATCGAAGGAATATTATAACACCTGTTTCATTTTTCAAGTCTAAAATTCCAAAAGGGAGTGCAAACTCCATTGAATTGATTTATGCGATTCGGAGTTGAGCTTACGTTGGTAATATTTGTAGTTTCTTTAAGTCACAAACTGTAATAAAAAAATACAGTAATATTTCTGTCTACTTACCTTCTTGTTGGCCGCAAATAATATTGTTCTTTATCACTGATGACCAGATTTGGTTTGCAAGGAAACTTTTCTGTAATGAAGTAATCCTATGACTATCAATAAGTCAAGCTCGTTCTCCTTCATTTCGACAAGGTATGGCGAAGTCACATGGGGTACACGCGTTCACTGCACCATGAAGCAGACAAACATCCGGGAACTGGACTATTTGTGATTTGGTAGTTTTAAGAAAAAATTGGGTGGTACTGTTTTACCAAATCCAGACAATGTTATGAAGTTATTGAGAAGATACAGTGAATTTGTTTTTAAATGTCTGAATATCTTAAACTGTACATTTATTAATGTTGCCTTATGTTTTTCTTTTTACTATTTGCATTTGTCTGAAAGAATCAGGCAACCCTTTTTTTTCATTAAACTTACTTTTATTACATTTTTTTTTCTTTTTTATAGCATATCTGGCTAAAAAAAAATTTTGGACGCTCGTAAAGACGCTGACCTGTATTCTCTTAACATCCCTTTAAAAAAACCCTTTTGGTCCATGACCCCTTAAACTTTATTTGCTGAACTTTCCTGAAATGTTTTTGGTTCATGAACATGTAACCTCCATTTGCTGAGTATCCATATAAAAAGCTTTTGTTTTGTGAATCCACTTAACTTTATTTGCTGATTATCCCTTAAAAAGCTTTTGGTTCAACTCCTAGCTAACAAATTATCGCAGCATAGATTTACTGACTATAGTACTTGTAATAAAATCATGTTTTTTTTTTATAATTTATCTGTGTGCATGTGAGAAAATGTTTCAAAGCGCAAACAAACAGCAAACAGAATAGTTAGCGTTTCAGAGATTACGAAAAAATGAGTATATCTTTATTTTTTGTTTTCAGAGAAAAGTAAATAAAGGATGTATGTTAAGTACCTTAAAAATCTAAATAGGTTAAAGAACCTACGAAACGAGATGTATGTTAAGCACTTTAAAAAATCTAATTAGGTTAAAGAACCTACGAAACGAGATGTATAAAGAAAAGATGTATGTTAAGCACTTTAAAAAATCTAATTAGGTTAAAGAACCTTCGAAACGAGATGTATGAAGAAAAGATGTATGTTAAGCACTTTAAAATATCTAAATAGGTTAAAGAACCTACGAAACGAAATGTATAAAGAAAAGAAGTATGTTAAGCACTTTAAAAAATCTAATTAGGTTAAATAACCTACGAAACGAGATGTATAAAGAAAAGAAGTATGTTAAGAAACTTAAAGAAAAACTAACTAGGTTAAAGAACCTCAGAAACGAGATATATAACTTAAAGAAAAAACTAAGTAACTTAAAGAACCTTTTGTTTGTTTATAATAGACCAAAGATTAATCAGGCTATCTGCTGTGTCCACCGCGAGGAATCGAACTCCGGATTTTAGCTTTATAAGTTCGTAAACCTGCCGCTGTCCCACCGGGGGACATCTAAAGACCTTCAAAAACGACATGTATAAATAAAGGATGTACGTTAAGCAACTTGAAAAAATTAAGTAACTTAAAAGAATCTCAGAAATGAGATGTACAAATAAAGGATTTATGTTAAGCACCTTAAATGAAAATATTACCAGAGTTCTTGATTACACAGGCCTGCGAATTTAAACTTCAGAAAAGTTGTTTTGGTTATAGTTACGGATTTTCCATAATTCAGCTAAGCAGATTTCGAAAATAATAGTCATTTTTTTCTATCACGTAAGGATTTTTTACAAATCGAGAAGAGAAAAAAAACCTCTTACTTAGATCAAATTATTATTTCGTTTACCACAGTGGACATTTTTATTATTGTGTTTGTTAACAAAATTACAAACAAACTGAATAAAAGGGAAGAACACTGATGTTAAACGAATATGCATCCTCATTCATCTTGATTTTTTTGTGTGAAATCTACGTTTTTAGTCTCAAAACTACGTGTTGTGGTCCTTCTTTTATGTGTTGCGTTATGAGTTTTGTGATAAATCTGTACGTGATGGAGAAAAATGGATATCATTTTCTGATTCAGCGTACAGAAATTACTGTAGAACATGTAAAAATTTCAAAACAATAAAACCATCGCAAGCCTGTGTTATTAAGCCTAGACTAGTAGTATTTCATTCCAGCAGTACGTGTTATATGCGTAAAATAAAGAGGGATAATAGAAAGAAAGCTTGACAACTAAATATTGCATATACTTTTCAACTATTTCAATGGTAGAATCATATAACTTGCAGCTTCAATGAAATAGTGCAAGAAGGTTAGATTTTTAAATGTCATCTATCGTGGATGCTGAAAATGATAATATAAAAATACAAGAAATATACATCTTTTACTAAGTACGCTTAGCCAGACATTAAATACATAACACGTTTATCGTTATCTGAGACGTGGCAGATTGTACAATATTATAAAATATGTATTTCATACACTTTTAGCGTGTAAATATGTAGCATACTTATCGTTATCTAAGACATAGCAGATCCTATCATATTTTATAAAATATGTATTTCATACGCTTTTAGCATGTCTGGAAACAGGTTTTATTGGCTACAATTTTTCAATTCCTTTTTTGGGTTTGTTCCTTCGAGCAGAATGAGTGCGGAATATTAAATAGAATTACCTATACAGTCACATAGAACGGTTGTTGAGTACAACTTGTATAGGTGTCGCTATGATTTCGTATTTAATTGTAACAATTGCCCTTAAAAGAGAATTGTAAGATAATCGGTATATAATGTAGGCGTAGTGAAATAACGTATTGATACAAAGTGAAATTCGTAATACTTTCTGTGTATTCTCTATGACATTATTTAAACTTGAAGGTGGGGAATAAGCATTTTAATTCCTTCCTTTCAGTTTCAGTGAAGAATCCTCTGGCACAACGTATTTCATTTTCTTTACAATGCCCTTCATCAATTCATGGTTTTACTTTTAGGCATTCTTATCACAGTATCACTATTAATCTTGCTGATGATGCACAACCTAATTTAGTTCACTGTGTGTACCTGACAAGGTACGTTTTGTTCAGCGAAACAGGTTTCCAATCTTGTAACAATGAATATTACCATCTCAACTGTAATTCAATATTTTATTTTGAGAATTTTCCCTTAAATGCTGTGCGGGTATGTATATCATATGTTGTCTGCCTTCGTAAAGTACATTTGTACTCTTTTTTTTTTTTAATTGAAGAAAGAGGTTCCTAAAAACTGTATCTACTGCCATTATTTAAACGGTCTTATAATCTATTGAAAACTTTTCTATATTTATTGATTTTACTGAAATTGAAAAAGAAGAAACTTGCATTTTATGGATCGAGTTATTTTGGTGCAATCTGTTCCTTTGTTGTTGTTTTTTCAGTATTTGAAACTACCAAGTTACAAACTAGATGACATTCAGTACAATTGTTGATATATATTGCATAATACTATTATTACAATTTACAGTACTGAAAACTTCACACACGATACAAAATTTTAATAACCAAATAAATTATGTCAAACAGTGCAGATTATACAACATCCATATTTCATATTAATTAATTTAAAATTACAGGTGTCAAATGTGACAGTTATAAAATATGTTCAATTCCACACCTCCATATGAACAGATGCAGTAAGTTTTAACTCCATAACTGATGCATATCAAAGGTTTTTCAGAACAGGTTAAACCAGCAAACTGTATACACAATAAACAAAACTGGTTAAAAAAAAACTTGTTTTATTGGTTTTCTGATAATACACAGAAATCAAGAAAAAAAACAAATTATGGCACATTGACAACCAAGTGATGGAAAATGAAGACTAGTTGCATGTCACAAAACACATACATCATTATGAATATATATATATATATATAACGAAAATCTGACAGCTGATGCAGTTTGGACAACAACAAAGAAACCAAGTATACTTCCAAACAATGTGTGGACCGCTTTGGCAATACAGGCACAATGCAAGTTTTGCCCAAACACAAACAAAACAAAAATCCTGGTTTATTAAAATAAGAACCAAAAAGAAGTATACAAGTTAAGAAATAAAGAGATTGGCAAAGATTGTATTGAGGTTAAGCCATATTTTATTTTGAAAAATAAAAATATCATCAAGTGATGTACAGAATAAAAGAAAATGGTCATCAGAAATGAAAGGAAATAGTTCTACCTCTGCACTTTACGCTTAATTTGAAAGACTGGTAATTTCCTAAAGTCTTAAATTCCTATTTGTAAAAAGTGGTTAGACTGGAAAAAAAAAGGAGATAAGCTATATGATGATGCATATTGCGATGTGATCTAAATTTTTAAAATGTCTGTTTCTCTGTATTGCCAGAGGTGCAATAAAATATAAAAATACTAATTTGCTCAAAAATAAAGTACTTATTAAGTCTAAAGACACGAAATTGAAAAAAAAAATTCGAAATTTTTTTGGCTAAACCTGCACAATCTTTTGCCTTATTAATGTATTGAACTTAACTCATCAGGCTTATGCTAATCACTAAAAACTTATAAACAATTAAATTTCTAAATCAGAACTGCATTTCATAAAGCAGTGGTTCCCAAACTCTTTTTGCATATATATATAAGAAAGTATGATTCATTCAAGACCATAAAGAAAGAATGACATTTCTGTCAGTGCGATGGGTGGACTTATTTCCCTATATAAACAGTCTATCTACCACTGCTGATTTTATTCCACGGAACCCTTAGCGGAACTCTGTGGAAACATGGTTTGAGAAACATTAGCATAAAGAGATATGTACGACAAATTTAACAGTGGTAATGGTGTGCTAAAACAAAACAGTTTGATTTATTGAAGCTGAAATGATTTTTGTATGTGCTGTGTATAAAATCTAACTTTCTAGAACTGAAACTAAAGAAATAACAGTATATGCATATTCAGCTACTTTATTTCTTTTAAACATTCAAGAGTTCTACTGGCATTTTAGTTCAAGAAGGATTCCAGAACCAAAAGATAAAACAATCATGTGACAAAAAAAAACTTGTTTTTTTTCTTTCTGTTAATTGTTCTAGTTGTGGATTAATTTTGAAACATTAAAATGTACATTATTCATTTCTTTTCCCTACGCACTGATACTAAGTACACATTTCCAACATATTTCACAACAAGAACAATTACAATTTACTTTTATCATTGGTAGATATTTGGGTTTTATCAAATGGCTTGAGGATACTCAAACTCATGGACTTTGTTAACTTTTAATGAATATCTAAATATCGACATACATAACAAGAAGGTACACTTGTTCACAACATTTTTTTGTGAATCATAACAGTTCATTCAGAATTTGCATTTCTGCAGACAACAGTGATTCCTTCTGGATTACACACCACACTTGATATCAAAGAAAACAAAGAATTGAACATTTATACACATCACATTCACTAGTCTAAAGTTCAGGAACTCCTAAATGATTATGTAATTTTATAAATCTCTTGAATCAAAGACAAGTATGGTATAAAATTTGACAATTCCATTTAATCCTCTCAGGAAGGTAATTGACCATACAGAATTTTAAGTATTTCAAGAAAGAGTATTTTAATCTGTAAATGTTCCTTGATAAAAGTATTTTATCAAGAGTTGTACAACAAAAATGATTGTAATAACAAATATGGCACAATTTTTATTAACTAATAATTTTTCCTTAGTCAAATTAGAACTTTCATGCCATCAGTTTTCACACAAATAATTTTTTTGTAATCAGTCTTTAAACATTTTGCATCAAATAAAAAATAATAAAGGTAAAATGTGTAGGAAGAAATTATGCTACATGAAAATTTAAATTGTACTGTTGCCATCCAACTTTTATAGAATTTATTTCATGTTTCTGATTCATGTAATGAATTTGGTAATAAAGTAAGAACAAGTTGTTTAATATCTTCAAAATATCTAATAACTAGATGCTCAAACATATTTGAATTGTAGGTTAGAAAGTTGAGTTTTTATTTGTTTATATTCCAATATGTCTTGACACAAGGTATATTCTGTCATCTGATTTATAAAACAATCATCAATATAAGCATTTGTTATCTTATTCTGATAATAAACAAGTATCACAGAGAAGTATTAGATTTAATTATGTCAGTTTTAATTGTGATTTCTTCTGTAATAAGCAGGAGAAGAATAAATATGAAGGTGTTTTTCTTGAAAGATTTTTTTTCTTTCAATTAGTTTTTTGTTGATAAAAACTTACAAACTTATTCCTGTAGAATAAAACTGAAAAAAAGAAATAAAAAATTATCCTAAGTCTATACTTATCAAATAGCCAAATGTAATTTACATATATTTCTTTATAATTTCTCTAATCATTAGGCATTTGTATTTTGTACTTATGGCAAAGTTACTATGGCTATCTGTCACCATTCCTGACTTTGAACTACTGACCAGATGGAAACCAACCAATCAGTAGCATCCTTACTACCCATGCTAAGAGACTGACTGTCACTCTTCTCACAGACATAATTTGAAGTGCACCTCTACAATTATGAAATCCAGAGTTCTGCCACAGGCCTAATCCGTGCTCTTAATTTATTAGGTCCTTTTGGATTGCAACTACAGTAAATCTTAATTATTAATATTTAAAAGTTGTTTTCCATATTAATCAGTTTCATGTTACTATTAAATTAATAAAAAAAAAGACTATAAATAATATGCTACAGAAAGATTAACTAAAATTATGTTAGAAAATATCTCCACTGGAAGTTCTTAAAAAAGAAAAAAAAGTAGATTACACAAATCAAACCCAGAAAAAATATTTGAAGCATTAAGAGCTTTTATTCAATTTATTACTTATCCTATTAAGAATTCCTTCTCATTATAAGTAAGAAAAAACTAAAGTTAAATGTGCTAAATAGTTTGGTATGGTTATTTGCTTTCAAAAAAAGTTATTGTATTCAGGTGTTTTAAATAAATTTCCAAGACAGAAATTCTTATTGCCAATGGTGAGTTTACTCTATGGTATCAAGAAGGATCTCATTGTACGTACAGAAGATTTCTTGTTTTGAATACCTCACTCAATTTCACAGTGTGTGTGTCTTTTATACACCTAATGCCAAATTCCTATGTAGTCAATTAATTGCTAAAAGTCCATCGAATTTATACCTGTTTCACACAAAATTTGCCATAAAACTGTCTGATAATCCCTGAGAATATAAAGGGTGACTGTCCAGTATTCTGAAAGTCTGTTAGTCCGAAGTCAAAATTGAATGAATAAACAAATTTGTAGGTACATAATAGAGGAATACAATCTCAAATATAATTTTAAAGGGTGCACCTTGGCAGATGTTTGGGGGGACCAGCCATCCTTTATAACTTGCTCTTGTTTTAAATACAAATAACAGAAATCTTTGAATCAACATTGTAGTGTACAGCTCATTGCATTGGCTTGGTGTCAAGATAATTGTACTGCCTGGAGGTTTTCAATATGTTTAATGGGTAGGAAATATAACATTTGTTGTCACAGTACTGTGGAATAAAAATTTTGAATGTCCATTCTCTCAGAAGAGCTAGATTCCCAAATCCAATCCTGATGGGTAAATATGTGGGCTCTACAGCTAATATTATACATGCATACAAGAAAATAATATTGGGAAAATGATGATAAACTTTATCCATCCATTCAAGAGAAATTGCAACATTTTAGGTCATATCCTGGGGTGTTTTTGTCATAAAATTTCACAAGTTCAACCAAACAATCAATTGAACATTTTAACTGTTAAAAAAAACATCTTTGGAGTAATGGACCCTCGGACTAACAGCCCATCACCAGATAAAGTTAACTGCAAGCTATCTCCATGATAAAAGAATAATATTACTGTTTAGTTCAAGTTCCATCCTTTTTTGAAGCACAGCTACTAATAATTTAACTACATAAAATTAAATGTTTATCAAATTACATTGCTACCTGGAAGAGAGCTAATATAAATTTATTATTCAAAAATATCATATTATGAAAGTTAATAAAAGTATATATGATTGAAATATGAATTACACTAAATATCAACACAGCTTATGACTAAATAAAAAAGAAAAAGTATCTTTACTTTAAAACATCCTTGGTAAATTTTCTAAGAAGTGGAGGGTCTGAAAATAAAATAAATAGAATGACTAACTTATCCTAATCAATACTGAGTAGTAACTATATTCTAATCCATAAAGTCCAACAGTAAGAATATTAAATTCTCAGCAATGTAAGTAGTTTTCATTGAGAGTTCAGGTTGTAATTAAATCAGATAAAGACAAAAGCTTTTAATATCACATGCAATAACTAAGTAAGGCACTACCTATGGAAATGGAAACTAGTGTTTTATCTTTTTTCTTTTTTTTTTTACACTGTTGACATCATTTTCAATATTTTTTAACTTGCAGATTTGGTTATCTGAACACTACATATAAAGTCGTACAAGTTGTAATTAACCTTGTAAAGTAAGTGAGAGCAACTAACAACAAACACTTTAAAAACAATAGGAAATACTTGGATCAATATGCAAATAAAGAAGTTGGAATATTCAACACACAATATAACTTCATACTAGTCAAACGGTTTGAGAACGACCGATTAGAATTTAACCATATGCTTGTGTTTCGAATCCAAAAATTCATGAACGTCCGGAAAACCTCTTATGAAACTAAAAGTACTGATTAGCACATTATCATATTTGCAAGAAACCACCTAAAAAGCAAGATTTCTGGGATAATGTAGATTTATGAGATTAAAACTAACTGAATAGTTCCAGTCAACTTTATCTTGGGGTTGTTACTATATTGTACTACACTGTAGTTATCTACAGATATCGAAGTTATCACTTTTCTCCCACAAAATTAATGAAAAACCCATACAAAAAAGAAATGAAAAAAGATCCTACTAGGAAGGTTTCTTTGGTTTTTAGCTGAGCTAGCTATACATGCACAAATATATATAAATTGTGTTTACTTATGGAGTGATCCATTGTTTTAGATAAACTTTTCTTAACAATCTATAGATTTACAAATAATTTTGTATTATTTAAAATGCAGTAAATGTTTAGTTTTTTCTTTGTTATTAAACTCGTTTTGTATAAACTATTTGATTTTTCATAAAATGAAACACTTGAGAGATAATAGCATTCATGAAGACTGACAAAACACCGGGCAATTTTAATAAACCATTTTGTTTGAGAAAACAAGGTATCAAATATCACAAAAGAAAACATAACCATGAGAATGTCCTTCCAATAAGAAGTATGAAAAAATTATATACATCACCCACAATTCTGGATAATTTCCAGAATTTTTACAGTACTTATTTTTACCCTAAAAACAATATATAGGAAGACAATATTGACACAGAGATCACAACATTTTCTAGCTATGCAACATTTCTAATGAAATTCTATGTTACTGCTAAAAGCAGCAATTTTTGAAGCACAGTGAGTACAGTATCAGTCTAAAATAAACAAATGCGAAATACTACAGTTTACGATATCAATACATTCAGTATAAGGATCTACTATATTGCCTAAACTGATCAACAGAGTGTTGGGTTATAGCTTCATGGGATGAATGTAAATTGTAAGTGTATCACACACAAATATCACTATGATAAGCTAAAATCTAAAATTTCTTCTATACACAACAGAATACAAAAACCATAAATACATGGGGAAATAACTTGTCTCTCTCTCTCTCTGAATGCACATTTCACTCAAATTTACATGTTGTGAAATCTTGCTTCTTTTCAGAAACATAGAAAATGTGAAGTAACAGCTGAGTATTTTGGTGATGATTTACATACCACAAGTCATTGTACACAACAGCAAACACTTTTAAAGTCTCTACACTTTTGTTCCTTAAGAACTCTGGTTTTGAGATTAATGCTACTTATATGGATATTAGTGCACTTCATGTGTTTCAACTACAAAACACATGACAAAGAAATACATGATTCAGTTATTTTTTTAAAACAAAAGCCAAGTTTCTTTTCAAATAATGAAGAAAAGTTACCATCAGTAATAACAAACTATAATGTTAATTAATAGCAATAAAGTTAATGAAGGGTATCAGTAAAAAAAAATAATAATTTAAAATGTTTACACATAACATATCTTGCGATATTCCATGGCTGGTAAATTTCACATATTTTGATCAATTTATCAACTGTTGTCCTAACATGTACAGTGTAGTGGTAAAATTATGAAAGGAGAGTAATAAACTCATGACACTGTCAAATTAGTAAATAAAATATACAACATGGAAGCTATTTAGTCCGTTCTTTTTTTAAAAAAAAACAGAACAGCAAGGAAAGAGAAAAAATTATGGAAATTACCCAAAATTGCAATCCTATTTTGAAAACTGTACACATGTTTGTCTTTAGGCTATTGTTTTTTTAACTGAATGTATGTAAAAAAATTTTTTTTTAAATTAAAACTGTTCAATTATCAGAACTAAAATTTGTCTTTGATACAATATTCTGTCTAATATTATGAAAACGGTGATTTTGTACTCATCTTTACCAAAGAGATTACAAAATTTCAGCAAGTTCACGTAATTTAAAGACAAAGTGAAATTTTGGTCTCTCTCAAGATTCGCACCACAGATAAAATGCAAAGAATTTCCAACAAAATATGAGAAACTGCCATACATAATGCCCATTTATATTTCAAATAAACAATTTTTCAACAAAAATTATCAAAATGAGATTATGAGATGTTTCTCTATGAATTATGGATCAGTTTCAGATTGAATAATTATCTACTCTTGTTTTCCATCCTCAGAATGTTTTTTGTTATCTCTCCACCTGTAATTTGCTAGAAATATAGTGATATTAGAATGCAAGCCAAAAAATTCATTGAAATGTATAAAAAAAAATGATTTCAGTTAATTTTTTTATATATCCCTCTTTACCCCCTATACACTGATCTGTCTTCCCATCTTTAGATCAACTCTTCCAAACTTCTGTTTTCTTGCTCAACTTCACTGAATTCTTGTGTTCCTTCAGCTCTTTAACAAAACTTCTGAAAAAAAAAATAATTATTACACACCTGGTACATTTTTGAATAATTAAATAACAGAAACAAAATAGTATTAAAAAATATATATTTTTTAAATAAATTCTTCAAATAGAAACAAGTGAACGAACTACAGAAATGTTACCTTTTTATTACATTCATCATAGTTAAATATTTATCTCGCATGCTTTTCAAACAGTTCATTTTGCTCTGACAAAACAGTTTTTGGTAGTCTTACATATAACCCTTACACAATCCTAATTAATTTACATATCTTAAAAGGTTTTTCAGTACTTTAAGCAGAATTTGAGCTTGTGCAAAATATATTATTAGTACATACAGAATTCAACATACTTTTAAGTATATTACATGTATTCATTTTAAAGAAGTTTCTACAGTAAAATCTAGAAGAGTGTTTGCTCAGGTATGCACAACATTATAATATCAGGTTCAACCAGAATCTATACTCACTCTGTTAGTATTATGTCTATCAAGTGGGTAAGCTCTTTTCTTCAGTATCCTGGAACATTAAACTAATTTACTAAACATGCTGAAGTACATTATATATAATCAAGGTTTAATTATGAAAATAAACTTTAAAATCACAATTAAAATGCATAGAAAACAAAAAGATTTATAACATAACATAATGTTTTGGAACATTATGGGACCTATTGGTCCATCTCGGCTGTTCCATCTTCTAAACTAAACTAAAACTATTAATAAATAAATTAAAAAAAACAACAACTTTAAAGCCAGCCCTTATCATTTATATACTTATCATGCATGAGTAGAGATCTTTATTGTATTTCAAGTCAATTTTACAGTTTTTAAAATCCCAATCTCCATTACACAAAAAGCTAATAACAGAGACCACAGGAGAAAAGTAATGGATTACGGTTACCCTAACAGCAATGTTTCCTGATTAGAATAAAACTCACAAAAGACTTTGTTTCTGAATGTTCTTGCTCTTGAACATCTTGAAAACTTGTATCTTCTTCCCAGTCTATCTTTCCATTAGTAGAAAGAAAATTTTCAGCTATTTCCTTCAGTAAACGTATCCTGTTTTCATTCTATGCAGCAATGAAAACAAAAAATATATTTGAACTATAAAGTTCTGAAACAAATATCAGTTTTTGTTTTGTATATTCAACCTGTACCTCACCTTACTCAGTACTTGCACTAATTGACCAGTTCAGAGATTCCAAAGTTTAGACAAAGCCATGTCTGATTTAGAACTGCTGACCAGAGGAAGAACAACTAGCCAGGAGCAGGATCCACCACCCATGTGATCAGGATTGACTATCACAGTTATAATACTTCCACAGCTGAAAGTTTAAAGTTTGGACTTTCTTAACTCTACGTAAGTAAGCCACCACTGAAAAGTATTTAAACTTACACAAATTTTTATTGGTTTAGTAAGTTTTTATTTTCTGATAATGTATATATATACTAACTGATTAGTCTAGGACTTTCAAATGCAAGAAACTGTAATGATACATCAATATAAAACAATGATAAAATCCAATGACTTGAATAGTATTAGGTAAACTGCATCAGTGGAAAGAAGCATCATACTAAAGTACCAAGAAGATATATATATATTAGCTCAAGTAACAGTTGTAAGTTATCATAGGTGGTGGTTTTACTGAAAAAAACATTTATTCTATCTCATAAAATTTTAATTTTGTGACCAAATTATTTTAATAACGTATAAATAAAAAATTAAATATATATATTTAATTACTTTTTTTTATTACTCTTTTAATGAAGAAAAAAATTACAATCATCCATACAATGAATATGATCCTGCAAGAGAAACACAAAACATACCTCAGATTTCATTTTTTCCATTAATTGTCGTTTCTCTGCTTTCAAGTTATCAACCTGCTCAGCTGTCTGGGCATTTTTAATTCCAGACACCTCTAGCCAAGCAAGATGGGCATCTTTTTCACTGAGAGCTGCAGATAAAGCTTCTTGCCTTTTAAAGAAGAAGCAACTTCTTACATTTAAAAATCAATGACGTAACACATAACAATAGTTGGAAAATTGTTTGATGTTGAAAATAATTCCAAGTGTCAAAAATCAATACTCTTCTACCAAGCATTATAGTACAGTATCACCAAAGTGTTACAAATTAATTTAATAATTAGCAGAATGTTTTTGAATGTCTCAAGAAATGGATAACAATAGTGCAGGTACATCAAAACATTTGGGAGGGGGGGGGAGCATTAATAAGTGAATACAAATTGTTTGACAATCAATAAAAATCCTTTAAAATATTCAAAAAGTTTACACAATAACAAGTACTGTATCTTACATACAAAAATTTACAAAATACAAATTATTTTCTGTGCACTACAAAGTTGCATCTTCACATATAGTTACTTAGTTGTGCATATTTGATATGGCACATTTTTTGAAATGGGCTTTGTAAATGCCAACTGCATAGAAAGACTAAATAAAGATTTGTTCCCATAAAATATTGGGAAGGAGGGGTCTCAATGATATTTGGGTCTCCAAATTTAATTATTAGGGACACTTACTCAATGCATTTATATACTTCTTTTGTCATTTCATTTTGTTTTTCATCATTCACAAAGCCACAACTGTGGACTGCTGTTTCTTTTGATGTCCCATGTTAAAACTGAAAGTCTAGCTTCAAAACTATCACAAACTATACAAAGGCTGCATATTGTCCAACTAGTCCTGGTGATCCTTGAGTTTGCTAAGTTGATTCACTTTTCTGGACAATTATATGTTAAGATGTGTAACACCTTTGAATAACATAAGGAAATGATCTAGGTTAATATTATCACTCTTAGATGATGAAGTTATAGGGTTAAGTAACTTATTAGCTTCTGTATGATCAAAGAATGCTGCATTATAATACTGAGTGATCACATATTATTGGGTACTCAACAATATTATAGATGCATATCAAGCTTCTTAATTTGGTTTGTATTAGTTTCATCAATAATAATAGAATAAAAGGCTCGATTTTGATTTGTACAACTCAACAAATGGTTCTTGTAGCTTAAACCAAAGAGCATGAGTGGTAACATGTGAGACTTTGGTGCGATTCATATGAAAGATTTTTTCCAATACAAACCTGATTCATAAACATATCTATCCTACAAGGTAAAATTATACAGTTGAACTGAAAACTTTTCATGTGCATAAAGTTTCACTGCAAACTCCATCACTATCCTTTAAATGTTGGTGACATATTTTTGTGAGTTTGCATGTTGCAAGATTTTTCCTAAACCTCTATCATTGCATAGGAATTCTCTGTTGCTTATCGTGCAGATAACTTAATTTTAACATCATTCTGAGTATTTCTGTCCCTTTCCATCAGTTTATGTACAGAGAATTGGAATTTCTGCTTAGATATTTTTTACATTCATAAAGTAACATTCACTTGCTATATTAAAATATAGATCTGATCCATAAAGAAGATCAACAAAGCAAATTTCACAGTATGATTGTGATACTAGATATATGAACTGTAGCTGATACAGTCCTTTTCTCAGTGTGCACAATGTATAGATGTTTGTAAGTTTACATTTCTTATATAGAGGACATAGGAATACAGAGGTTGGAAAGGCTAATTGGTTAAGGATTTTGTCAGACATCTACAAAAAGTATGCATCATTTTAAATTGGCTTATGACAAAGTATAAAAGTAGAAGGCATTTCAAATTATGACTGGCTATATAAAAGAAATTAAATATGGGAGAAGTGGAAAGCCTGATAAAATGATGGATATTAACCTTTTATAAATGAGTGTAAATTGGAATAGGCTGAATCTATAGTATGGCTAACTTACATGTATCATCTGTTTAATTAGAAACTGTAGAGTTTTAACAGCTGAATAAATACTATTAATGAAAAAAAATCACTTGTAATGTACAATAAAAGGTAGAATTCTAAAGATGTTCTAATAAATATCTCGGATAATTCTAAATTTTTAGGTACTCACTTCATTTCAAATGTTTCTTCTAGATGGCATTTTCTTTCCGAAATTAGTTTTTGCAGTTCAGATTCCTTATCCTTGAGTGACACTTTTAAGATTGGACACTTCGTGCAACGAGCATTATGGGCATTCTGAAGTGCTTTTAATTCAGCTACCAGCTTACAGATCTATTAAATATATTAAGTATAGACACTTTCTACTATCAGTGTTTTTTAATTTTATATCCCTAATTATTAATTTTGAACATTAAAAAGTAAAGACAGTATTTCAAAAAAGTTTTTACAAACAACCAACTTCAGTGATAATCAATATGTAGAACACTGAAACAATCTCGAAAAATCCATAAACATCCTATAACTGCCAAAAAAAAAATTCTTAGTTATACAATTCTTACTGAATTTCAATTTAATTCTAAGATGATATTATTTACTTTTCTAGAAACATTTAATCAAATGTATTATGTTAATGATATACACTCTTTCAAAATTCATATGTAAACAAAATCGTATTTACTTGTAAAATCACTTCTCATAAGACAAATCATATGTAAAACATACTCTCGTTTCTGCTTCTTTGTAAAGAGATTCCTTCTTGGCCAAAGCAACTTCCCTATCAGCAGTTATACGAACACTCTCCCTTAAAGCCTCCTCAAGTTCTTCAATTCTTTGTAGCTGTTCTAGAGCTTGCTCCTGGGTTATGAGCACCCGAAACAGCAAAGTTGGATGGCAGGGGATGGGGGTGAAGTGGGTGTGTGTGGAACAAAAATGTATAAACAAAACAATAAACTTGAAAATAATATAAAAAAAGAATAATGTGATGATGAACAAACACAAGGACCTTTCAAATCAATCTCCATAACCAACAAATAAAAAGAGAGAAACTATTATTTAAAAATAGATTAATAACCATACTCACGGATTATAAAATGACAAAAAAGATAAAAAGAAAGCTAAAAATGAAGGCACATTATTGGTGGTTTGATTATTGAGACTGGAAACAAAATTCAAATCATAATAAAAGACTGTAATAAGTGCATATTACAAAAGCCAATGAATAAAAAACAAACAAACAAGAAGATTAAAAGAAACTTGAAAAAAAGCTAGCGGCACCTGATGGCTGTTGGTTAGGAAAAGAAGGGAATAAATATTACAATTAGAAATAAAATCTAATAAGTTATTTATCACAGGAAAGATACAGAAGCATCAAAATAAAAATAAGTTCAATCTCTATGTTACTGTATTGTTCTAAAATCAATCCTTAATTTTATGTTCAGTTACTCTTTATTTTTTGTCAAACACGGAGTTTCATCTGGAAATTAAGGTTTTTATTTTGACATATGATGAAATTTTCTGATATCTGCTATATTTTTTTTTTGAAAAAGGCAAAACATATTATACAATGCAGATTTTTATAAAAGTTTTTAATTTGTGACGAATTGTTATAAAAATATTTGATCGTTTCTTTTCTACAAAGAAGCCTTAATCTGTACGCAAACTAAAAATTTGAATAGACAAATTAATAAATACTGTTATGAACTTAAATGGATATGTGCTTCACAAAGCTGTTTCATCTATTGAATAATAATTAGTTGTGGAAGATTCACTATCTTTCATAACAAAAACTGGTATAATGATTCCTTACATTGAGTAAATAGAATTATAGAGCAACAGCTGTTTCATCTATTGAATAATAATTAGTTGTGGAAGATTCACTATCTTTCATAACAAAAACTGGTATAATGATTCCTTACATTGAGTAAATAGAATTATAGAGCAACAGCTGTTTCATCTATTGAATAATAATTAGTTGTGGAAGATCCACTATCTTTCATAACAAAAACTGGTATAATGATTCCTTACATTGAGTAAATAGAATTATAGAGCAACAGCTGTTTCATCTATTGAATAATAATTAGTTGTGGAAGATCCACTATCTTTCATAACAAAAACTGGTATAATGATTCCTTACATTGAGTAAATAGAATTATAGAGCAACAGCTGTTTCATCTATTGAATAATAA